CTCCTTACCTCCTGAGCAGAAACGTCCATCCTTAACACTAGGTCCTTCAATGAGTTCCCGTGCCTGGCGGAGATGTCTAGAGATACTTCTCCATTTCTGAGAGTGTTGTCTTGCAATCCATGTCTTTCCTCCTAAAACTTACAGCTTAGACCTTCAGTAATGCGATCTCTGAAGTAGAGTTTACATCACATTAGAGCCAAACATTACTGAAGACTCATGACGTTTAGGCAACACGAACAACTAAGTCCTAAGTTAACATCTTGTAGAAAAACCTACATAATGTCACAAAAAACCAATACGATGTAAAAAAAAATCGGCATAATGTCACTTTTCAAGATACGTAATACCCGTGCGGCTCAAGCGTTTCGACGATACTTGAATAACCCCCCCCCCACCGCTTCATATTTGGAGATATAGCAAAAATTGTTAAGCAAAAAAGGTTCAGATTATCCTCGAATTTAAATATCAGGTATTTGTTTGTTAGGTTAATATAGCGGAACTCGCAGAAACATCAGTTTTTTAGATTGAAGAAAGTAGTTACGCCCCCTAGTGGCCATTTTGGAAAGTTAAAACTATTTTCCAGGTCTCTTGGCCGTTTTAGTAACAACTGCTTTTGCCGCTAGTCTCTACGGTGGATAGGTTCCCAGATACACTACCTCGCATTCTTAGTTGGCCACCCTGTACAACGTCTGTTAAGTAACGAGACTGGCCACTGCGAGGTATCACAATCGGTTGCAGTGCAGTGCCTGTTGGTTAGGATTGTGTTGGAAGACCAGAGCTAACAATAGAACCTGTTCGGTGAACCAGTAACATTTATGGAAACGGCGAAGAACGCTAGAGCTCACTAAAATAAACTAGTTCTAGGAACTAGTTCGTGAACGAACTATTTTACACAGGAATAATGTCAGTGAAATATTTCATCCGACCGCAGGAGTTGGTATTTGGATGGGTAATCGCTTCGGAGCACCTCGTATTGATATTTTTTGTATTTCACTTTTTTGTTAAGATGGATCTTTCAAATTTAAATACTCCACGTAACTTGTCGCTCACATAACATATGTAGCTAAGATGTACACACGTTTCTAATAATCTTCTTTCACGAGAACGGTTTTTCAGTATCGTAGAAAAAGCACTGAAGAAGAAAACAGTATCTGACCTTTCGGACGATTCTCACCTTGAGGTAGAACGTCTTTGTGCAGTTTAAAATAAAGCACAGCAGGCATTATCGAACGATATAAATATTTTAGCATGCGAATGGCTTTTTTTAGAAAGCTGAGCAAGCAGTCTTGTCAGCAGAAATACACTAGAAGCCTATACAGTTAAAAAATTAATGAGTTTAAATGGAAATCTGTAGTTAATTTACATTTCCATTGTTTCTCCTGAGAATGTTTTGTTGAATGATTCGTTTGAGAGAAAAAATGGTAAGAATAGGTATTTAAGGTGACGAGGTAGGGGTCGCACCCCCATTTGTGACTCTCCTGGTATATTTTGGGAAAAATGCTCGGACACGTCAATTTTGATTTCTTGGCGGTACAATACACGGCGATCCAAAAATAAGATACTGCGTTACACTTTAGATTCTTAAATAGTAACCCCGATTTTTTTTAATTTTGATATTTTCCATCAAGTTTTTATCAACTTTTGTATAATAAAGTTCATACCTATCTTCAATCGTTATGAAGCTATTTGAGTTTATAATAAAACTCGACTTAATACTGATAATAATGAAATGCACGGCAAAAAAAATAATAATGGATAGCAGCAAGTCAATGTCATCGTATGCAATAGAAAAATGTTGTCTTTCATTTCAACTCAAGTTACCTACCTAGTTGTGATAAATATTGAACAATGACTTATTCAATTCAAGAAAGGGTAGAAATAACAAAACTGTATTACGAAAATGGGAGCATTGCAAGAGCTACTGCTGCCCGGTTGTTTGATACGTTACATCCAGACAAAAATATTAGCGATAAGTATGTATCTAAGTTGATAAGAAAATTTTAAGAAACTGGATCTGTGTCTAATATTCACCGCAACCGCCATCGAGTTAATCGACCAGTTAGAAATGAAGCCGCAGAAATAGCAGCTTTGGGACACGTAGCACTTGACAACACCCAAGGCACTCGTGGACTGGCTACTTCTTCAGGATTTACACTCTCAACAGTACAAAGAATTTTGGAATACACTAAATTTCACTCGTACAAGATAAAACTTGTCCATGAGCGTAATGAAGATGGTTTTGATAGAAGATAGGAAATTTGAGAATTAATGTCCCAACGTTTAATCAACAATAGAAATCTGTAATTTAATATTTGTCTTTCGGAGGAGTGAACGTTCTATTTACATGGTGCTGTAATGATTGTCGATATTGGAGTGACTCGAATCCAGATTTGTTTCGAGAGGTACACTTGCAATATTCTGAAAAAATAAAAGTGTGGGCAGGCATTTTGGGATATCTTATTGCAGGACCATTCTTTATTCCTGGAAACTTGACCTGCGAAACGTACGTGGACAAGTCAAAAAATACAGCAGAGCCACGAATTACTGAAATAATAGAAAATGACGTTAATTATAATTTAAGCTAAATTCATTTCCAATAAGATGGTGCACCGCCGCAATATATGGCTTCAGTACGACAGTTTTTGGACACCCCGAGATCTCCGGACCCAAGTTCTTTAGATTACTTTCTTTAGGGGCATTCGAAAAGTAGAGTTTTTAGTACCAAGCCAGACTTCATTCAAGACCTTCGTTAGTGGATTACGCCTGAATGTACTCAAATAACTCAAGACATGCTTGAAAATGTAAGGAATAAATTCGGCACTTATTACACTGATCTACCTCTTTATAGCAAATTATTTTTGACTTTAACTTAATGGGCGTGTAAACTGTAAGTTGTTTTTTGTTTTTTAATACTCGGAGACTTGTTTTTAATTTTAAAGTAAAGTGGTGTTACTACGATTGAAGATAGACATACATTTTATTACACAAACGTTACTAAAAACTTCATGGAGAATCTAAAAATTAAAAAAATGGTGGTTTCTATTTAAAAATCTAAAGTGTAATGCAATATCTTATTCTTGGATCACCCTGTATTGTAGGGCTATAGAAGAAAAGACCTACCCCTGGAAATCAAAACTGACGTGTCCGAGTTGTTTTCCAAAATTATGCCAGGATAGTCACAAATGGGGTGCGCCCTTTTCGTTGGGCCACCCTGTACATTCAATTTACAACTTGTAATGGGACATTTTAGGATCTGTGTTGTTTTTTGAGATATTAACTGACCCGATCCCCTAACTTTTTCGTATGTCCGTTTAGGAAAAAGTTGATTATACAGGGTGGGCCATAAAGGTGTTTCAATTTCAATATTCAATTAAAAAATAAGTACGCAATATAAAAGAAAAATAAATGTATCTTTAAAAAGTAGAAAGATAGAAACATTAAAGACTCAAAAATAATGTTCAAGTGACTTCCTTCGGTTGCTTGGCACTCTTGAAACCGAAGCTGCTGATTTTGGAAAACTCGTTGAAAACGGTATTTTGTTACTTTCCTGAATAATATTCGTCTTCAGCTGCTCTAGACTAGTTGGATTATTCTCGTAGACCACCGATTTGAGGTAGACCCATAGGAAATAATCGCATGGAGAAAGATCTTGGCGACGTGGTGGCCATTCAATATCCCCCCTTTTCGAAATGAGTTTCCGGGAAAGACATTTTGCAGCAGCTCTATAGCTCTAACTGTATATGACATGTGGCCCCAGCTTGTTGAAACCACATTCTAGAGGTACTGCCCACCAAAAAGTCTGTTATCATATTGCAATAATTGTTAGCTTTAACTGTCATCGCTTGCCCTCTTTCGTCCTCAAAAAAGTACGGTCCAATAATACCAGGTTGACGTAATTCCAGCCCACACGACTAGTTTAGGGCTGTGAAGTGGACGTTCATGCAAGCGTCGGGGATTAGTTTCGGATCAGAACCGAAAATTTTTTTTGTTAACATGGCCATTGAGGTGAACAGAGTTAAGTTATCTTGCAGAAACTGGACGACCACGAGCTGTTATTGCTACTGTCGAGCCGGTTGTTTCGAACATTCTGATCCATTTCCATATCACATCGGCGCTTGGAACTTCTCTCAAATCCATGGCGACTTAATTTCCAGGCAACGGCGCGGCTAACAGTTTATACCCCTCAACCCGCGCCCCGCGTTTCCGAGAAATTTAAGATTTAAATCGCCAACACTCTTATGACCCACCTTATAATAATTGTAGGGCCTAATATAGAGTTTTACGTGAAACATCTTTTTTGTGTATATAGGATGACTAAAAAAGTTTTATCCAATAACTAACGGATAATAATATTTCAAATGGTGGAAATCCCCTAATTTTAGTGATAGTTGCATTTTTTCTGATTCCAAATATATATATATATATATATATATATGATTGTACTTATTTTCATTATTTTGGCCAAGTATAAATTTTGTGTCACATATTCATGATATGTATATCCGACTTCAAACCAGTATCTGGACAGAGCTGGAGACCTGATTAAATGAAATAAAATTGAAGTCTGGCGTAAGTAGTGAAAATAAGCATAATAAACCATATTTTTATATTTGGAATCAGAAAAAAGCGAACAAAATTTTCACTAAAAATGTATTTAAAAAATTATTAGACAGCACCTTTCTGAAACACCCTGAATGCAAAAGAGAAAGTACCTGAAAACTATACTAGACCATACTTTTTTTCTGTAGGAGGTCAAGTAAAAATGATAAAGAGGGGTCGATTTATAGCGGGACCCCCCTACTACATGCAATAGAAACATTGCCAGTTTTTGAGTCATTCTGTCTACAGCTTTATTGAGAACCTGGCAGTAAAAGCAGAATAAGCTTACTTTTGTACGATATTATCAATACGACTACGCAAGTAGTAAAGATATGAGGGACAAAATGAACATACGCACGTCGAAATCCTTTTTACAGGATTACAGTTAAACTTTTAGTCACCTGTGAGCGATTGTAAGGACGCTGCAGTTTTTGAATTTTTTCCTAATCGTGTGCTGAATCAGAGCATCGGTTTGAGGATCGACATTGGCTGTGGCTTCGTCCAGAACCAGGACTTTGTTGTTCCTAAGGATGGCCCGGGCAAGACATACCAGCTGCCTTTGACCCACACTGAAGTTTGAGCCGCCTTCTGACATCTTCGAATTCAGACCGGCTGCCAAGTCATCCACTGCTTCTTTCAGTTCTACTTCTTCTAGGGCCTTCCACAGGTCAGCATCTGATAATAGATGATAAAAGGAATAACATTGTTAGTATGGTATAGAAACAATAATAATGTAAATGCTCGAAATTAATTAATTTGATTCATTAAATAACAAAATTGATAAACCAGGAAACATCAAACATGAACTAAGGATCCTTATGTGGAGGTCCAAGGTGTTGTCCAGTGTTTAAGTGAACATTCCTTTTTGTGATATACCTATGCAATAGTGTAAAAAAAATTCAACAAAACAAACAATGTTTCCGTATCTTAGAACCGACTGAGCCGATTTTAACAAACTTGAGCTAGTCGAACAGGCCTGTTCTTGGGCTACAAACGTTATAATATTTGAAATTATGCTAGCTTCACATGTGGCCGCTAGAGGGCTTTCTTCGACATTCCGACAGAAATGGTTAATTTTCCAAAAAAAATCAAAAGCATTGGTATGATTTTTTTATGAAAAAGTAGCTGAATGAAATGAAAGAGTAGCTAAACAAGCACGCAAAAACCGCATCTCGATATGTTGTTCCTAACCTTAAATTTGGATTATAGATTAGATTTTATACGGTAATCCCTTAAATTGTTATTTTTTGACTATTTTTTCTGGAATTTCTATTTATTATTAAGTTGTGGCTCTAAAAAGGACCGAATTAGAAAAGAAACAAATTTTATAATTACTGTTAGCATGTATATGACTTGTAATTCGACAGTGTAGAGTGAGTATAATTTTTCTTATCTCCCTCATTTTTTAAATTCAGCAAATTCGCATATATAATTTCCAGAATGGATAAAAAAGTCGTTGCGCAACTAATTTCTAGCTTTGAATTTCAAGTAAGTGTATTTGAGACAAGAATCCAATGAAATTATCATCAACACATACTACGTACAGCTTAGACCTCCAGTAATGCCATCTCTGAAGCAGATTTTACATAACATCAGAGCCAAACATTGATAACTGAAGCCTCGCGACGTTTAGGCAACACGTACAACTAAGTGCTAAATTAACATATTGTAGAAAATCCTACATAATGTCACAAACAACCAATAGAATGTCACTTTTCAAGATACGTAATACCCGTGCCGGTCATGTTTATTTGCTTATAGTGGTCAATAAAGTTCGTAAAAATCGGCATAATGTCACTTTTCAAGATACGTAATATCCGTGCGGCTCAACCGTTTTGACTTTACATTGCTTGAAAAAATGTGGCGCAATAATTCTGCTTCCCAGTATCCCACACCACACATTTAAACTCCAAGACCCTTCGTGCTGAAATTTACGCAACTAATGCGGATTTTCTGCAGACCAATAATGCATATGGTGCAGATTGACTCTCCTGTCACTATTAAAGATGGCATCATCGGTCCAAAGAATTTCAAATAAAAATCCTCTATTTTCGCGTATCATGCCTACCATCGAAAGCCAATTAAAGTTTTATTCTTTCAATGTCTGATGCTAAATGACATGCTATGGGTAAAAAAGTAATTGAGAAAAGATAGACTATATACAAATCTCTATATTGTGATGGCCATTCGATATCGAAATGCGGTTTTCGCGAAGCTTGCTTAGATATCATTTAGTAGGTACTTTTTCATTTAATTTTTTTAGAAAATTAACCATTTTTGTCGGAACGTCGAGTAAAGCACTCCCTCGACCACATGCGAAACTAACAAAGCTTCAAATATTATAACAATTGTAGCAGAAAAATAGCTCATTTCAACTAGCCCAAATTTGTAAAATCGGCTCAGCCGTTGCGAAGATACAGGAAACATTTTTAAGGAAACCCTTTATTTTTAGAAATACAGCAAAAATTGTCAAACAAAAAAAGTTCACATTATCCTCGATTTTAAGGATCAGGTATTTTTTTTGTTAGGTTAGGTTCTTCTCTTGGACGTTTTAGTAATAACTATTTTTGCCGCAAGCCTCTACGATGGATACGTTCCCAGATACCTCACATCCTTAGTTGGACCTTGTACAACACATATGAAAGTTAGGACTTACTGAACCAAAGCTTAGTAAACCTTTGGCTGAGCTCGCTTAAGAATATATAATAATACCTGAGTATTCATCGAAGGGATCCAAATTTTTTCTCATCGTTCCTGAGAAAAGCACAGGTTCCTGAGGAATTATCGAGATCTTGGTCCTTAGATCATGTAGCCCAATGTTGCAAATATTGACCTCGTCGATCAATATTTCTCCACTAGTTTCAGTCAGTTGGAATAGAGCGTTGATCAAGGAGGACTTTCCAGCTCCCGTTCTTCCCACGATTCCCACTTTCTCCCTGGGAAGAATCGTAAAGTTGAGGTCTTTCAACACATAAGGATCGTCGGGGAAGTAGCGCAAATAGACGTGACGGAACTCAACCTTTCCATCTTCTGGCCACATATCTAGTGGCTTTTTCTCCGGCGAGGACTCTAGAGGTGGTTCGTGCTCTATTGAAGAGTATTCCAAGACTCGCTCTACGGAGGTCATTTGATTTTCTAATTCTGTAGATTGCCTCATCCCCCATTGGAACATCCCCGTAAGGCCAATGGCTTGAGTTATGGCCAAGCCTACATTGCCACCGAACCGTTCTAGAAAAGAGTTTATCAATTAAGAGTGAAACTTTCAGAATGATATTTAACATATGAATTCAGTTAAAGCATTCACTAACGCAGGAGTTCCCAACCAGGGGACGCGCCTCCTAACGGGGACGGAAAGCGTTTGCGTTTTAGAAAGAAAAAACAAAAAAAAAATAAACAAACAACATTAACAAATAACATCACAATGTAATGTTTAAGTTACATGCATAAAATTAGAAATTAAATATCATATTCACTTATTCTGTCAACCGCTGTTTCAAAACCCGGCGTCGTCAATCGCAGTTTATACCACGTTTCGAGTCACAATATGAAATCCGCGCGCACCCCCGCCGCGTACCGCTTAACATTTATCACTTAGAAAACAATTGTGTATTACCAGGCTCTGATGAGCATCTGACGTTTCGATGTACATGTTTTGTTGAAAAATCTGTTTGAGTGTGTCAAATTATTGTGTCTCACTGTTAAAAGGCAAGTTTGTGTATTTACGTACTTCAGCTACCATTTTTATTTAATTTCCTAATTTGTCGATTAAAAGGAGACGCGTTCATAGATCGACCATTGGGACTTTTTACCACATCACAATCAAACCAGCGTGGCGAGATAATTTTGAAACGTCAAACTTTAAGTACCTGCCTCCCGGTGACCAATATACTGTTGAATACATTACGTTATCAAGATAAAATAATGGGCATATAATTAGTAATTACATGTAGGTATTTCGTTTGTTTACTTATTACTTATTTGTTTTATTGTTATAGGCGCAAAATGGCAGCGAAAAAAAGAAAGGTTTCCGAAGATTACGTTAAGTTTGGATTTACCTTCATAGAAAAAGACGAGTTACAATTGCCTTAGTGTGTGAAATGTATGAAAGTTTTAAGTAATGATAGCATGAGGCCCAATCGCCTTGAAAGGCATTTGAAGTAACAAAATCCTACTCTGGTTTTGAAGACGAAAGAGTTTTTGCTTCTGAAGCAGAATCACTCAAGCGGATGAGACACAGCATCTTAAAGGTTCATTTGAAATAGCTTTTATGATAGCAAAGCAAAAGAAACCTTATACTATCGGTGAAGAATTAATAACACCATGTGTCCTAAAAGCCACGGAGATAATTTTAGGAGAAGATGCAGAGCAAAAAATGAAGTCTATTTATCTTTCGAATAACACAGTCAAGCGTAGAATCGATGACATTGCAGCAGACATAAAGTCACAAATAATTAACAAAGTAAAATTATCGCCATTTTTTGCCATTAGTTGCAATGAATCCACCGACATCGTTAATTGTGCAGAGGTAACAGTTTATGTTCGTTACATGGGTGGAGATATCATTCAGGAATAGATTTTGTACTCCCAATCTTTGACAGCAGGTATTACATCTGAAGATATATTTAATTCAATATCAAATTTTGTTGAAAAAAACTATTTGGATTGGAAGAAACTCATTGGACTTTGCACAGATGGCGCACGTGTAATGATAGCTGTACGATCGGGCTTAGCTAAAAAGCCCAAGGAAAAAAATCCTGCAATGGTTAGTACACATTGTGTTAGGCATCGGCAAGCTTTGGCTTCCAAAATATTGCCACAGAAATTACGCCGGGCTTAGGACTAGGCTATAAGAATTGTAAACTACATAAAAAAGCAGCACTTTGAACAGCCGGTAATTCACTTTACTTTACGAGGATTTCGATTCTGATCACAAAGTTCTTCTGTTCCATACAGAAGTACGCTGGATGTCCAAAGGCAACATATTGGCTCGCCTTTATGAATTGAAAGAAGAGGTAATTCAATTTATTGAGTTCAAAGAAAAACACGATTTCTTGACATTTCAATGGAGGTTGGCTTATTTAACTGACATATTTGACTCCTTGAATGAGCTAAACTTGAAACTTCAGGGCAGAAACAACACTTTAATAAGCAATTATGACTATATTCAGGGGTTCATATCAAAACCTTGGAATCAAAAAGTGTCTTCTGAAAATTTTTCTCCGCTGTTCGAAGCAATTAAAAATAATATACTGGACGCAAATTTAAAAGCTGATATGAAAACTCATTTGCAAGCGCTGGAAGACGAATTTTGCCGATACAATCGAGACATCAATTCAGAGTCACCAATATGGCACGTGACAAGAAATCCATTTGTTGTCGATGTGTCTCAATTACCAGAAGAAGTTCAGGAAGAATTTCTAGAAATGAAGGCTGATTCGTCCATAAAAGATGACTTCCTGATAATAGCAAAAACAACTTAGAATAAACCAACTGGTACAGAACAAGCGATCTCAAGTGTCTCATTAGTACCTACTCTTATTTTGTTAAAGTTTTTCGATAAAAAACTTTTATTAGTTTGTTTAAACTTTTAAAGTTTCTTTATTAGAATTAAAATCAAAGTCTATGTACCTATATAATGCGCGTTTTTTTCTATTTATTGAAAAAGTAAAGGGGGGCATGAAAATATAATTTATAGTCCGGTGAGCCTCAACAAAAAAAAGGTTTGGAAACCCTGCACTAACGTATTCTCCAAGATGCCCAATCCTAAGCTGTCCAAATAGACGTTCACTCACAATTTTATCCTTCACAACCATGTCATCTAGTAGGACCGTAGTAATTCCCTTAAAAATAAAAGCACGCCTCATGTTCCTGCCAAGGAAAACTGTTTATTTTTATATATGAAATTAGTCTTTCGAGGAAAGATAACCGATCCCGCAATTATTCCTAAGACCACATTTTTAGCATTTCTCAACTACGGAATATTCCATATTCTAAGGCAACAGTCTGAGAGATAGCAACGCTGACACCTAAAAAGGGTGTATGGTTGTAAACAACGTTTTCGCTGCCACGATACGTATGCGTATTTTTGCGCAGGTACGGCTTTCAATTGGGTATCCTCTGTTAGAATACGTTAATAAATGGTTTTTAGGTCCAACTTGCTAGAAGAAAAAAAATACATTTGATTTTTCAATATATAGGAGATTATATGCAGTATAAATTGGTAAAACGTGGCTGGTTAATGAGATAAAGGGTGTTCATTCTTAATTTTCAAAATCGTTTTTCATCTACAACTCAAGGTATTTTTGTGAATTAGGGGTTTCATTGGAAGAAAAATACGATTATGTTGTACTTTTCAACCCAGTATGCAGAGGCCCTAGTTACTATCTGTTATGTGCCTGAAGTATTGTCAAATATTCATTGTTCGTTTCATGCAAGTATCTTTTTTTACTTAAAAAACAAAATCAAAAATAATGAAACGGTGCTACCCAAAATGTTATGGCATAAAAGAGTATACGTTCAATAATAGAGATTAATAGAACAGAATCATGTTCATCATAGATAGATGCCTCTGATTCCCACTTGTTTATATTATAAAAATAACATGAGCTATAGAGAAAAATGGCGTCAAGTATGTTAACTCTGAACTTCCCAAGCAATGCCGGTGGTGTTAGTTCAGTACAAACTAGAACCTCTGAGAAAAAGGTCACTCAAACAGATCCATACAAATTAGTCCATAGACATTCTTTCCCTGCCCTACCGGTAGTACATCTGGATAGGTCGGTTCTGCCAGCAAGACAGACGTGGCGGCCCAGCGCGGTCAGAGCATAGAAAACACTTTGATGTGACCAAAAGGTGTGGCGTGACAGAAATATATATGGATAATACCAGAATACTCACCAAGGCGAACGGTATGCGGCCGGAAGCAGCAGCCGCGGTCGGCAGGTACGCGATAAGTTTGCTTAGAATATTTTTTTAGTTTTAAGGGCTAATGTAAAGACGATATTTGAAATATCTCTAACATGTGCGTATAACTGCGAAGGATGGAAGCATATAAATATACTACCATTAAAGAATGAGATAAACCCGCCTCACCCCCTACAACCCACACCCAGTTTTTTACCTTTAAAAATGTTATCAAAATGAAGTTTAAGCGATTTCTAGTATCTTTCGTTTTTGGAATTTTTCTCTACCACCACTGAATCGATTTTCAAAAATTGGAAGTTTTTGCGTCCTTGACATAGTAGCAAAATTGTGTAAAAATTTCATCAAAGTCCGAGCGGCACTTTTCAAGATTAGCGGACAGACCGACAGATCAATGTCATTTCCACAAGTTTAATCTGGAACTGATTTTTGACACATTAATTACCGACCCTCTTTACATAATCTCTCTCAACATGTATTACTAGAAATATTAACCTCATATTTTATCATAATACTATAGATAGTTCGTGAACTAGCCTGACTAATATGTGTATTACACTGATAAACACAGGATTTGTGACATGACAATTTTTGGGTGTATCTTATGTATTTTGAGACCCTTAAATCAAATCTAAAAACAGAATTTTTCTATCACCCACAGATATTCGGTAACATCTACTTTTATGAATTACAATACGTAACATTTCATATGCATTTCTCGGCGTTTATGCGATGACGCACATCTATAATGTTAAGACCTGTCTATTCCTGTTTATTATGTGTGAGCTCTATGTTTAGAGAGCATATTGCGTTTATTAGTAGACGAATAGCAGCCGAGTCAGTTACGTTTTATGTGTTGAAGAGTACTGAGATGTTCTGAGTACGGTTAATTTTTGTTAAAACGGTGTGTTGTTTTTAGTTTATTGTGATTGGGACTAGCTTTATGGATAATGCCTAGAAATTATGTAACTAGTGCGAACAGTTTTTGTTACATATATGTGCGGAGAGCTAACTTTTAAATCCCAAAAACGTACTTTTACTCCCCTTGTGTTGAAGGCATACGAACTTTATTTTGTGACTTGTGTAACGTTGTTAACAGGTTGGTTAAGAGGCGACAATCGTAAAATGCCCTTTGCGGTACCAATGGTTTGGAGAGAACCGAGAGAACATACTACTGATTGCTATTTTTGCCTCACAAATATTAACGGTATTGGACCAAAATCGAAACATACTGTAAACTGTTAATTTTAATTTACCATCAGCTTTGCGGCCCGTTAAGCATAGTGATGAACTTTCTATCCCTGTTCCACCAGAATCTGGGTGTTTGGATGAAAAAGTCGAATCCACCGATTCTGAAGGTGATGGTACAGAAAGCGTAAAAATTTCCGATCCTTCGTCTAACCTGCCAGGATGTTCAACAGCGCCGCATTTGGATGGGATCTTCTCCACGATGATGTTAACATTGTTTTTTACCGAAAACGGCAACAAGACCTCACACACTGTTTCCGTCAAGAAAGGGAGTTGATATATTGCTCCGATGTCAACAATTAGTTTGACGCGTTAGGACAGAAACATGATCCAAATGTTTGGTGCCTGTTCATTCATTTCTCTAAGCCTAATTTAAAAGTGGTATTGGTACACAACGATAATAAATATCCATTTGTACCTATAGCGCACGCAGTTCATATGAAGGAATCATATGAAAATATGCGAGTTCTGTTAGAGCATATCCGTTATAATGAATATGGAGCACATTTAAAGGTAATAGTTCTTCTTGGAATGCAACTGGGATATACCAAATATTGTTGTTTTCTTTGTGAATGGTACAGTCGTGCGCGAGATCGTCATTATGAATAGAAGGAGAGGCCACTACGTCAGGTATTAACTCCGGGCCTCAAAAACATTGCTCATGAACCACTAGTTGATCCCAAAAACGTGTTGTTTCCACCTTTGCATATTAAGTTGGGACTGATGGAAAATTTTGTGAAAGCTATGGATCGAAATGGAAGAGGGTTTCTGCATTTAAAACAAAAATTTCCGAGACTTCGTGAGGCAGAAATTAAAGAGGGCATATTTGTGGGTCCACAAATACGGAAAATCGTGAAGGATGATGTATTTGACAGTGCTCTAAATGAAACTGAATTACGAGCTTGGAATGATTTTAAATCAGTTACTGCACATTTTTTAGGCAATGTGAAGGCGGACAATTATAAAGATATTATGAGTAAACTAATTAATGCCTATAAAGGAATGGGATGTAACATGTCTCTAAAAATTCACTTTTTGGATTCTCATCTTGATTTTTCCGGGAAATTTATTTGCGGTAAGTGATGAGCATGGTGTTCCACCAAGACATTTCTGCTATGGAAAAACGGTATCAAGGCAAATGGAGTGTCAATTTGCTTGCTGATTATTGCTGGACATCGTTACGAGATACTTCAGGAGATACATATCGCCATAAAACATCGACAACAACATTCTGAGATTAATGTTTGTTCGAGTGTTTATTAGTACTCTTACACACATATCCTTATATTTTACGAGCGTAAGCAGCAAATAAAATGCCTTATTGCAAGAAAACCGTGGGTGATAGAAAAAATTGAATGCTTTTTGGGTACGTTTTACATAATGACCATTTTGTTTTGACCATGTCACAAAAATTATTTTAATTTTGATCACCACTGTTATTTTCGTGGCCTGTATACACATTGTATTATAGCACCAATCTCGCTGACGCAGTAAGTAATTAAATTTCAATCAATAGAGTATAGTTGCAATTTGTTTTTCTCAAATTGTTTTTAGCTCCTGTTGATGACAGCACAGACTGACGAAAGCGTGAGTTGTAAGTTAAAAGAGTAGTTTGCTTAATTTGTCGATTTTCCCAAGACGAGTTCTTCCACTTAGCTAGTCGTTGCGACAATGACTATGCATCACATTATATTAAAATAGTGCGTCAAAGCGTCTTCGTTACTATAAGAGTTGCAGAAAAAAGCTAAATATAAAAGCTGTAGGCAGAGCTAAGGGCTGCAACCCAAAATTATGTTTAACTATATAGGGTGTCCCATACATTAGTGGCAATATAAACAAACTTGTATTTTTTTAAATGGGACACTATGTATTTCTATTGATTTTCAAAAGCGCATATTCTTGGCCATTCTGTCAATGTATGGTTTTGGGGGTTTGTACTGAATATTTTAGTTAAAATCATTGTACACTTGACTTCCCGTATTTTAAACACACTTTAGATAAAATCTGTGTTATTATACTGAGTGATGGAAACAGTAGTAGACAAACATATCCTATGATTTTTACGTACATGATTCATCTGAGGCATCCAGGGTGAGTCAAAACGGAAAGATGTGATTTTCCCTAAAAATTTAAATGCAACATCTTGTATGTTATACCATTCCCTATACCTAAACATAGTATTTTTTGAGATATACTTGTGCTTGATATCGTGACATGACAACACAGTTCTACAGTTCTTAATGCCGTAATTGGATGATATGGATGTGTCGAATGGTTTTAACAAGACGGTGCCACATGCCATACAGCCAGTGAAACAAATCAATTACTGCATGAGACATTTTCTAGACGTTCCGGTGATCAGAATTGCCCCCCTAGATCGAGTGACTTAAAACCATTAGACTTCCTCTTATGGGGTTATTTCAAGTCAACAAGCCCACAACCACCCGTGCATTACAAGAGGAAATTAACCGGTGCATCAACGAAATTCAGCCACCATTAAGCAAAGCCGTGGAGGTCATTTTCCCGATGTTATATTCCATACATAACCCTATCCTAAGTACTTTATGATTCAATAAAGAATAACAATCTAAAGTCTTAAAACTGTTTTCTAATTCATTCAAAACGCGTTAATTTTTTGACACCCATTATATTACACCGAGCTGGTCCGACCAAATACAGAGCATGACATTGGAGCCGTGAATATTCCGTTGAAATCACTCATATGTTCTTTTAGTTACAGTAGCATCACCACAAGCGTCTGAGGGCATTCGGTGAGCTTTAGCCGCAGTTTTATTATTACTAAAAATATATTTACACCTCTCGCAGGTGACGAAAATTAGGATGATAAACTGACATTTTTAATCGGGAATTGTCGTCTATAATGTATGTATTCGACCACTTTTCGCTAATGCCATCTATAGTGAAACGGCGGGAGTAAAGTTGGATACCTAATATTTATAGACGAGCTGGATAGTAGACAAGCCAACCGGAAGGCATGACTATTTTAGCGAACAGGCGACTTTCCATCAAAATAACCAGACATTTGGATATATTTAAAACTAGTCTAGAAACTTGCTATAGTTGTAGTCACCGTTCTTGGCGGTAACGTCATCAACGCCATATGAAATAAGTAAACAGATCGAGTCTCCATACCATGGGCGGATCTTTATCTTCAGCGCATCTGCTACTCTCTCCAGTATGCATGAAGTGGGTAACATGGACCGCTGTTTTCAGTCTTCTCCTGGAAATTTAGCATTTAGCAAATTTAGCACGAGCTATCAGCCTTCTCCATTGATCGTATTTCCGGGCATTGTACAATTTTATATTGAATATTGATAACAGACGGAGACACACAACTAAAAAACGTATGTCTTTGAGCTTACCGAACATACGTTCACACAGGTTGCATGTGAATGTATGAGGGAGATGGAGAGATATAAAGCGATACTGGAAGTCTTACTTTCACCCGCCAAGAACGGTGACTACAATTATACGTAAGCATGTTAGTAAGTGGAAAATATATGTTTGTGCCTACCATTTCCAATTAGTAAAAAGCTAAACGTGACCAGCGTGATGTATATGATGCACACAATATCCAACCAGTATCCAAAAGCTCTAGATGTAGATATAAAGGCGAACCAAGCAGAGCTGTGTAGGTCTTGATGGCTGTCAAACTCTTTGGTCAGTACTTCTTCTGCACCAAATGCTCTTATAGTAGTTAGTCCAAGCAAGGATGCACTCAGATGAGAAAAAACGGGGCTTCTGGCTAAAACAAACAAACGCTTGTAATTTTTCAATGGTAATATTGGTGTTACTATTTAAAAAAGTTTTAAAACCCTCCCACATCTCTGCAAAAAAATTATGTATGACTTGCAAATTGAAAGGGGACGTCTTGAAATTAATTTCCACCATATATATACTGGTCGAAAAACTTTAAAGCTGAACTAGTGTCGAAGTACTATTTCTCGCACGAACAATGATTGAGCAGCACTAGTAGTTGAAGACTGCATAGCAGTCAACCGCAAAGGTATTATATATCCCTAAAAAATTCAAAAAACCGACAAAATGTCATCTTGGACTAGGTAGTTTTTGGTGTGCAAATAGGCCATTCCACGTTTGCTCGCTATGATCGCAGTGAGCGGCATCAAAAGCGTACTTCTATGAAGGAATGAGTCAACGACACGACATGCATGGTTGGCTGCTTGTTGATTGCAGATAGCCTAGTGTAGTCTGTAGTGTTATCTCTGAGTGGATGTGAAAGAATGAAAGTTGGTTGAATAGCAAGATCGCATCTGGGTAATTGGTTTGCATGTGTATAAAATCATTGATATTTGCTATGATAGAAAATTATTACGAATTATTATGCTCACATTTTGGTAATTGTTTTGACATACGATGACACTGATTGATGCTAAATGTTCTTGATGGTATCCATGATTTTTCTTTGCCGTGCATTCCGTTGTTATCAGTAAGCTAGTAGAATTTTATTATAAATTCAATTAGCTTCACAACGATTGAATATTGGTATAAGCTTTATTATACAAAAATCACTAAAAACTTCATAGAAAGTATCAAAATTAATAAAAAATAGGGGTTTCCATTTAAACATTTAAAGTGTAACGCAATATCTTATTTTTAATCACCCTATATTGTACGGATATAGATAAAAAGGCGTCCCTCTAGAAATCAAAATTGACGTGTCCGAGCGTTTTTCCTAAAATATACCAGGAGAGTCACAAGTGGGAGTGTGACCTATTCGTTGCCTTTTGCCTTTTTGTACACCCTGTATATGACAAGCTGGAACAGCGCTAGGATATTAGTAAGAAATATTAACTTTGAAGCCATTGATACTGTTGATGTGTATCCCGAGATATATAGCATATCAGATTTTTTCCGACTCCAAAACCGTTGAGTAATAACTGTAGGATCGTTTTAAATAGACAAATAGCCTAACTTTTTCATTGTACTGTTTTTTTCCTTTGTCCATTTCCATTCATCTACCTACTTCATATTCAATACTGTTGCTAAAATTGAAGAAATCGAAATAAATACTTACTAACTCCTTCTAATCTCTTCACATTTCTACTGGTCCTCAAGTAGAATATTCTCATGAGATAGAAAATGATCCCTATAGTGCAAGTTGGGACCATCAACCATGGGCTTACAACAGCGACCACTACAATGATACCAAGCAGGGCAAGACCTATCTGCAAACAATCTATCATGGCGGCAGGAAGAAGCTCGTCTATGGAACCCATGTCTTTTGAAAATCTATTCAGGATTCTGCCAGCGCTGTTGGTGTTGAAAAACCTCATTGTGGTCCTAGATTTGCGAGAACAAAAAAATACCAATTATGCTTTTAGTCATCAGCAAAAGCACATACAGTGTTTTTATTATTTGAAGAGGCTTAAGTTATCAAATTGAAATACGAGATGATGAAATTCAGGCATGTACATACTTAGGTGCCATCATGTTGGCTTGTTATACAGGGCAACTCAACATGATGATCCATTGGCAAGGTGCTCCATTGACAGAACCACATTTTAACCTTCGCACTTGCATTGGTATAAAAATGAGGAAAATCGGGCCCGCGAACGAATGAATCGGACCGATCTAAAAAGCACAATACTGATAGAAATCATGAGCTGTTTCTGACAGGTTTACTCTGCTTCAAAAAATAACGTATGCTTCAAATTGTAGAGATCGAATGTTTAGGCATAGAGGATATACAGGGAGGCTCAACGAAAATGTCGCATCCCTACTTGTGACTCTCCTTATATTTTGGGAAAAACGCTCGGATACGTCATTTTTGATTTCTAGGGGGACGTCTTTTCATCTATAGCCGTAAAATACAGGGTGATCCAAAAATAAGATATTGCGTTACACATTAGATTTTTAAATGGAAACCCCATTTTTTTTAATTTTGAGGTTTGGTTTGAGGTTTTCAGTAAGTAAAGTATATAACTATTTTCAATCGTTGTGAAGCTATTCGAGTTTATAATGAAATTCTAGAAACTGTGATAATAAGGGATTATATGAGAACAATAATAATCAGTATAGTTACCGTAGTAACAAGACTTTAAAATTAAAAGCAAGTATCCGAGTGTTACACAATCAAAAAATAACTTACAGTGTACACGCACACTAAAGTTGAAGTGACAATTAATTTGCTATAAAGATGTAAGTCAATGTGGTAATAAGTGCTGAAAGTGGTGTCCATTTACCTCCATACAATAATAAAGATTTTATTCGAATCTATTTCTCACACTTTCAAACATGTTCTGAGTTATTTGTCTACATTCAAACTAATCCGCTGACGAATATCTTAAATGGAATTAGGCTTCGTACTCGTACTAAAAACTTTACTTTTCAAATGCCCCCAAAGAAAGTAATCTAAAGGACTTAGGTCCGAAGATCCCGGCGGCTACTCGATGGGGCCTCGTCTGCCGATCGACTGATTAATATTGTTATTAATAATTAACGTCATTTTCAATTATTTCGGTATCTCGTGCCTCTACTGTATTTTCTAACTTGTCCAAGTAACTCTCGCCCGTCAAATTTCCAGGAATATAAAAAGGTCCTACAATGATGCGAGTGTATCTCTCGAAACAAATGTGTGGATTCGTGTCACTCCAATATCGACAATTATGTCTATTTACAGCACCATACAAATTGAACGTACACCCATTCGAGAAGAAAATATGAAACAAAAGATTTGTGTTGTTAATTAAACGTTGGGACATTAATTCGCTAAACTCCAACCTTTTATCAAAATAGTCTTCATTAAGCTCGTGTAGAAGTTTTATCTTGTACGGGTGAAATTTATTGTCTTTAAAAATTATTTGTGCAGTTGAGCGTATAAATCCTGAAGAAGTGCCCAGTCCACGAGTGCTTTGCGTCTTGTCAAGTGCTACGTGTCTCAAAAATGCTATTTTTTCGGCTTCGCTTCTAACTGATTTTGTCTATGTAACGCATTAAACAACCGGGCAGTAGCTTTTGTAATGCTCCCATTGTGGTAATAAAGTTTTGTTGTTTCTACCCTTTCTTGGATTGGATAACTCATTGTACAATATTTATCACAACTAGGTAGGTAACTTAACAATTTGAAATGAAAGACAAACTTTTTCTGTGACATACGAAGACACTGGCTGATGCTAAATTTTCTTGATGGTATCCATGATTATTATTTTTTCCGTGCATCAATACAGCAAACAATCAAGCAGTAAACACGCATCCGTTTGGTACTCTGTGAAAAAAAAACTATTGGGCGGTTTAAAGCGATGGTAGTAGTGTTGCGAACCGCAGGAAAGTGATATTTGACTGTGTTGTGTCAGTTGAATTCCATTTTAGAGCGCTAACTGCAACTACAGCCTTAGTACTAGTATTTCCTAAATACACGCATGCATAAGAAGAAAAATTGTTCAGCAGCCATATCTCAACAAAACAAAAAACTCTTTATTTATACGACAGGAATAAAACCATAGTTTCGGGAAGAGCGACAAATTTCTAAGAACGAAATTTATAACTTACTGGAGAAGGTATCTACCCAGATTGGGAATATTAGAGACGAAATAGCTCAGATGAAAGAAAATTGTGGGAAAACATGAACACCAAATCGAAATATTGAATAGCAAAATGAGTGCAGTTGAAGCAAATTTGGTTCTCAAAGAAAAACTAAATGTAGTAAACAGGAAGCTAAAGAAAGACATTGTCGCTTCTGGTGTGCCTGAAGAAGAAATCGAGGATACCCCAGAATTAATAAGACAGTTAATTAGGGACAAGCTGTTCATAAGCATAGAAGCATCAATTATATCAAATAATTACTTACTAAGGCCCGTATCGTCAGTCGTCCCTACAATTGTAGGGCGCCTTTATGGCCTCCTTGATTGTCATAGTTTTCTACTTCTCCGTGTCAGAACTCTATTTTGAGGTTATGTCACAAACATCTATTTGGATCAAATTGTGCTTGCTTTTGAGTTATATCATGTTTTATCAGCCTGAAATTTCCTACAATTTAAAAAGAAAACATATCTTCACAATAGGAGAGCGCTGACGCTGACACGGTACAAGTGTAATCTAGAAATTTTTGAAGGAGAGAAAGGAGTATGACATTCATGAGGCCATAAACGCGCCCTACAATTGTAGGGACGACTGAGGATACGGGCCTAAGTCGGCGAGATTGTTGCTGAAATTGTTCTTAAACAACAGTGTTTGTCGACTATGTGTTCCCTTTCACTGTCGATTAAGAAAAATTTCAGCAAACTATCTCGCCGATTTAGTGAGTAATTACTTTCCTCCTAATTGTTTATTGTTGTATTTTTTCAAACATTGTCTTTTAGCTCCAGACGATGATGGCATGGACCATCGAAAGCTCGAGTTCAAGTTGTAAGAGTGTACTTATGCAAAACTTTGCCTTCTACCCAAAGAAAATTTTAGGATATTTTCTTATATATATATATATATATATATATATAATAGAGAGAGAGAGACACAGAATGACACATGAAGTCCCCAACAACAGTCAATCTACACATTGTAGTATGTATAAAATGGCTAGAAGATCTCGAATTTTCAAGACCACATCTACCACAACCACGAGGCCGGTTATAGCCACTTGTTGTGGTACTTCAAGCCCGAAGGATCTACAAAGACAAAATGATCATGCGTAGAAAGGTATATAACAAAAAATGGGCAAAATCCGCAAAAAGAAGGAAACATGCCGATTATTTTCCTATTTTTTGTTAGATACCTTTTTCTACAAGATCATTTTCTCTTTCGAGATCGTTTAGGCTTGTAGTACCACAGCAAGTGGCTATAACCGGCCGGGTGGTTGTGGTTAGATGTCGCCTTGAAAATTCGAGGTCTCCTAGCCATTTTATACTACAATGTGTAGGTCGACTGCTGTTGAGAACTTCGTGTGTCATTTTTTTTCCTTCTCCATCTTCGTTTCCTCCGGTTACACCCGTATCTGGATGTATGGGCATGTGTATCTACCTTTGTGGTTGCACCTTGCATTCATTTCGGGCCTGATGAAGCCAACACGCAGAAATACGTATTGCTCGGGTTAACTATCCTATCTTCTGCTCGAATCCACTTTCCCTTTTTGCGGGTTTTGCCCATGATTTTCCTATTTTATATATATATATATACAGGGTTTGTCCGGAAAGTACTAGGACTGAGTCGATTTAAAAAAATTTGTTGAGCCAATCGTTATAATTCTTTCAAAACTTTCAAAATAGGCTGCTTCTGCGTCGATGCAGCGCTGCCAGCGCGATTTCAAAGCAGTGAAGGCGTCACGGAAGGCATTCTCCGGAATAGCCTTGAGAGCCGCGGTGCATGCTGCTTGGATCCCCTCTGTCGTCTCAAAATGCTTGCCTTTCATCGGCCTTTTCAGGCGAGGAAACAAAAAAAAGTCCGGGGGGCCACATCTGGGCTGTAGGGCGGCTGCGGAAGCGTTGGGATGCCGGCCTTGATCAGGTAGCTATTCACAAGAAAGGCGGTGTGAGCCGGGGCGTTGTCGTGGTGCAACTTCCAGTCGGCTGCGATGTCTTGTCGGACCCGACTGACCCTTCGTTTGAGTCTCCTGAGCACTTCCACGTAAAACTTGGCGTTGACGGTTTGTCCAGGAGGAACAAATTCATGGTGGACGATGCCTTTGATGTCAAAAAAGACAATGAGTATGGTTTTAACTTTCGATTTGCTCATTCTTCCCTTTTTTGGGCGAGGAGACGCCGTTGAGTGCCACTCGGAAGATTGCCTCTTTGTCTCGGGATCATACTCAAAGATCCACGACCCGTCACCTGTGATTACGTTATTCAAAAATTTTGGGTCACTTTCACACATGTTAAAATTTTCTTGGCACACTTCCACTAGCCGCAATTTCTGGTCGTCAGTGAGCACTTTTGGGACCATCTTTGCGCACACAGTCACATTATCGGTGTTTGTCGAATTCGAAGGTCTTCCAGCACGGTCGTCATCAGCGACCTCTTCCCGGCCCTCCAAAAAGGCCTGGTGCCACCGAAACACACCACTTCTTGCTAAAGCAACACCTGGGTAAGCCTGCTTAATCATATCAAACGTCTCTGTCGCAGATTTACCGAGTTTCATACAGAATTTAATCGCGTACCCCTGCTCTAACAAACGCTGCATTTTCGGCTTGCACCACTCACAAAAACAAGTCGCACGAAAATGCCTGTCCTGACTCTCCAAGTGCTCGGAGACAACTGACCAGTCGCTCATTCGTTAGGAACGCTCTCTACCGAATCCAGTCGGTGCGCGCACGCTCCGAAGTACAGTCATGGCGGAAGAAAATGAGTCCTATTACTTTCCGGACAAACCCTGTATACATATTTTTTTTAGTGTTATTTGTATCGCCAACATGATCTGTGTTTAACGAGCAATTCATAATGGGAGCCTATATAAGAGACTTTGGAATTAAAACAATACGAACGAAATCGCTGCATAACAGTTCACAACTTTCCAAAATTTTAACAAGCGACCGCACTAACCTAAAGATATATCAAACGAATATTAGGAGTGTGAGTAAAAACCTTGATTACCGGAAAATACTGCTCCAAGAGACAAACGAAGATGTGGATATAATAATATTGACAGAATGTTGGGAAATAGATGATCTGATTTTATTTGGCATGAGGGGCTATAATCAAATATACAACCACGGGAAACTAAATCAAAATCTTGCTGTACATAAGAATAGGGATTACCTACACTCATAAAATTCTAGATTTGTCTGGTATAAAGGCGATAGAGGCAAGAGCCTAGATTTATTAATAAAAGTATTACCATTACAGCTATATATAGACCACCATCAAATTGTGCAAAAACCTACGCCGATGACTTATGTGACTACTTTGAAACTGATAGATGTGGAGTACATATTCTGATTGGAGACATAAATATAGACATAGTAAGAAATACAGAAATTTCACAACACTATTTAAATGTAGTAGAAGCTCATGATTTTCAATCATATATAAATGCACATATTCACGTTCAAGGGGAATCAGAAAGTTTTATCGATCATGTTTTTGTCAAAAAAATCAATAAAACACTTGAGTTTCAGCCTATTTTGATAGAAGGAAATATTACGGATCATTATCCCACGATACTTCAGATACTGTTAAGTGAACATAAACATAATGATACTCAAAAAATAAAACAGAATCTTGACAAAAATAAAATAATAAGCAATATAAACTTGGAGCAATGGACAGACATGTATTTCTGCAAAACATTAGAAAAAGCCGCAGACAAGTTTGTGGCAAACACCAAATCATTGATACTTATGAGTGCAACACAATCAAATTGAGACGTAATGAGGTAAAAAGAAATCCATGGCTAACAAACAAGATTCTACAAATGACAAATGAGAAGAGTAATCTTTATAAATTACTAAAACTGAATCCAACTGCAGAAAACATCATAGATTATAAAAACAAACAAAAAAATGAACTGGAGAATTCCATAGAAAAAGCTAAAAGACAATATTGTGAAAAGCAGCTAAAATTAAGAGTGCAAACAATTTATCGCTATAGAAAACTGTAAGAGGATTCACAACGGCCGGCACTACAAAAAAATCTTTGAAAGAAATGAAAACACTCCAAGGAAACATAACAAATGACATTAAAGAAATAGCTTACAGTTAGTTCTCGTTGGTTATTTCTCATTAGAGGTCATCCAAAAAACTATTTTAAAAGTAACCATTCCGTTACCCAACTAAAGGAAATCAAATTCTTTGACATCCGACAGCAGTATTTCTAACAAATAATACTATCTCTGGATAAAAATAGACATAACAAAAATTTATTCACTCAACACAAATATAAGACACGTAACAAAAACATTATGGAAGCACCAAAGCCGGACAAAAATGTAATGCCTTTGTATTTCTTGGCCCTATATCTTATAATATTTTACCGCAGGATTTGAAGCAACTTAACTCTTTAGAGTTATTCAAAGTAAAACTAAAAGACTGGATCAAAAACCTGCCAACAACAAAAGTGATTATGTGAAAAATACTTACTATATAAATGACAATATGTAAGGATGAATAACTTCATTATTGATATTTTTTGGCTATAACAAATATTAATACTCATAATGAGTGTCCCAAAAGTTTTTAGCTTCTATATAGGTATGCAATTCATATAAACAACAAAATAAGTTAATAAGAATGTATGTTTCATTGTAATTACATCATAGTTCAGTGCATTTTATATGTATATCAAACTTTTGTATGGATGTATACTATTGTAATAGTGATTGAGCAAATGATTATACTTTATACATGACAGATAATGCTTTTTTTCTTTGATGCTTATATATTATAAATTTAAAATAAATGCTCAGAGGACGAAAAAAAGGGTGAAAAATGATAAAATGTGCACTAATCAAGGGATTTTGCTTATTATTAGGCTAATAATTTAAACTGACGTACAAGGTGTGTACCTTCTGTGACCGCTAGAATACTTATATGCAAACATATTGTGTATTTTCAAACTGTGTAAAATGGCAAATAAATATATTATTATTCCACTATTATCAGTATTAAGTTAGTCGAATTTTATTATAAAATATAAAAATTGAAAAAATGGGGGCTTACATTTAAAAGTCTAAAGCGTAACGCAATATACCAGGAGAGTCACAAATGGGGGTGCGATCTTTTCGTTGGGCCATCCTGTATATTTTCAATTATTACTCGGGCAATTTGGAAATTTTCAGGTACGCCACTGGTCTGTCACGTTTTGTGTCCCTTGCACATTTTGCGTATCTAGGTTATTTTGCGACAAAAAATAGGTCAGTTCTTTTTTGGCAAAAAGTGCACTACGTGAAAAGTACAAAAGAAATGAAAAGTGTATTTTGCATCGCTTGACGAAACGACATTTATATAAGCTAGTTAGTGGGTTGCTTAGAAAAATCACTAAAATAAAAATCGCCATATCATTGCTTATTCTGGATGAGGAGTCTTTCAAATGATGTATGGTTTATTGCTATTGGTCCGGGTACGAGAAACCATGTATTTTTACCCATCCTCTTTTGTAATATACGCACCTGGTGATACTCTCGAACATTTTATCATGCAGTCTCATAGAAGCTCGCATACAAATCGTAAAGAATGTGAACGACCTGACTAAGGTCATTAATATTAGAAGACCTATCAGACCTGAATAGACGTAGATACAGGTTTCCCTGGAGAGGTCCCAGAAGTCATGACTGATTGACGTATCATTTCTGTCTGATACGTGATGGCGATGTTTTAAAGGTGGTAAAGATACATTTTTGTTATCTTTGATGGCCATAAATTCATCGGTGTTGTTCGTTGATTTCGTGGCTTCAGCTATGGAAGCATTCAAAGAAGCTTGTTGAGCTTCACCGGCCTTTTGCTCCAAATTCACCCTGAAATAATAATTTTTTTTTATTTGATATTTGTATACAGTGAGATCTCCTTTGGAAGGTCACCAACGGGATCGACTGAAAGTGTCCGTCCAAGCGGGAAGTCCGTATAAAATAGATACAACAAAAATAGTGTTCTTTTATGAATACTGAATATACTAAAGAGACTAGGACATTTAAAACGTATATGTATATAAATGTCTTTAAAATAAACAAAACATTTTAAACTTCAGAAAAAAAAGGTTTGTTATCTTTAGATATATACAAAGTATGTACATTAGTACATTAGTAACTACGCAGTTAATACAATTTTGCATCATGCTTATTCAGCTAAAATAACAACTTCCTGTTGATCTATTGTCTATTGTAAGCCTACAATACATCGTCAGCGGAAATCCACGCGTGCCTGAGCTAAGATGCCTTGTAAGCAAAACCTAAAGAATAAGTCCTCCTCCGTCATAGTTATTTCATTGTAACTTGTAATTTTGATTTGAGAAATCGGTGTCAGAAGAAGTGGGATAGCACACGTTAGAAGACGGGCATACTCACTAGTGTGGTATCTCCCTATTGTTCAAGCTACAAAAGGACCACGAGCCTTCAAAGAAACTAAGAAGTAACAAAGAAGGAACTAAGAAGTAACTAAGAAGTAACTAAGAAGTAACTAAGAAGTAACTAAGAAGTAACTAAGAAGAAACTAAGAAGTAACTAAGAAGTCATTAAGAAGTAACTAAGAAGTAATTAAGAAGTAACTAAGAAGTAACTGAGAAGAAAAACCCCATGCTAAACAGCGAGCAGAAGCCACCTAACTGCGAGGGCATCCTTCAGAAACATCGAAAGAGATCTGTTGGATCCCCTGGAGAACACGACTGTCTCCTGATGTATCCTTGGTAACGTACAATTTTAAGTAATCTAACTATTTCTTTGTGATTTACCTCTGTGTGAGTGTATTTCAATTGTTTATTTGCATTTTGCATATCTATAGTGGTCATTCTCTTATATTTTCAAATGAATAAACAATAATAATTTAACCAATTAATACGAACTTTGATCAGTAGATCTGGAAAAGTTGCTCTAAAAACATCACCAGAAATCCTAGAAAATATATTCCTAACCACTGAGCGATAAGGTATTTATGACTACACCGCATAATCATTATTTTAAAAAAGTTGACATACCAATAAGTGATGAAATAATCAGACCCGCTGGCAAGCAACTGGGCACTAATAAATAGCACAAAGAAAATGAGTATGATGCAGCAATTGCCTCCTGCTCTGAAGTAAGATTTGTAGACGTAAGCACCAACCGAACCTGTGCTTTTCTGCTCTTCTACTGGTCTTGGAGTTTCCATTTTGTCAGAATCGACGCTTTCGATCGACTTTTGCTTTTTCAATTCTATAGGCTCATCAGTTTTCTCTTCCGCCACTTCTTCGCCCGTTACTTTCGCGAAATTCAAACCGCTTTCTTTCAGCTCCCTAAAGGACCCTGTAATAAAGAATGAAGATTATTCCCTGCAAAGGTCTCCATCCAGCGATGACGTACCACTCAGTGAATCTACACAACCTTAATAGTTTACTTATAAACTGCATACTTATAGCATAATAAATCTACTACAATATTAAGTACTAAAATAACTCAACTTCAATTCTAATCCAAGCTGTCGATAAGGCAAATTAAATATATCAGTACATAATGCAGTACTTTTCCCGAGCTCATTGCATCTAGACTAAGCCTTGAAGTCTTGGGTTGCGTTTACCGTCAGACGGTAAGTACAGATTAGAACAAGAATACGGATCCAGGACCAACAGCAATGGATCATTTGAAACACTGTTTCCAGGTATAATCAGTAATACAATCGCGATTTTTCAATTCTTTCACTTCAAAGGTCAGCGGTTTTGTTGGATGTTTACGTCGCTATCACTAAAGTATTTGCACGTATGGCATTCATTTCATCATATTATTTCATTGTAATTACTAATGTTACTACTAATTTTTACCAATAATTTGAACTTGAAACGTAGCTATGGTGGATGCTGGTAAACATTAGACTATAACTCAGATTTCTTAGGGCTTTCGCCACTGGTCTTTCAAGAATTAGATACTGTCGTTTCACCAACCAACACAAAACACAATTTTTATGTCTCATATACTTTCTGCGTACTATGCTTATTTTTCGAAAATGCATACTTTCCAAGAATTGACATGGCTTTAGAGCTGCAAAATCCACAATTTCAGCAATACACTTTTTTCTCGAAGCAACAATTTGTTGTGTCTAGGCGAGCGAGCGCCCTGCTTGGATAATCTGCGTCCCCAGCAGAGCAATCGACTATATCGGTCACACCATTTTGCTCAATAAACTCCTCTACCTCGGAGTGACTGGATCCGCCTATAACTGACTAGAGTCGTTCTCGAATGTCGGAAGCAGTATGTGTGTATCCCAGCCTATGAGGGCAAACACATTGTTAAAATTGAGATACAAGAGACTAGCAACTCAAAAAATAAATATTGTTGCGATCGGGGAACAATAACCCGACTTTCTGTCAAACTTAGAATTTGAAAGTTAATAGGTTAACCATGTATGGATTTCAAAACCTAATTTTTATTTGACAAAGAAAATAATGCTGTATTTGTATTTTCAAAGTTTTCTTCTTATAGTCATGATCTACCTTCTTGTACGCAACGTGATAAAAATTGTTTTTGTTCCTCATCAGCAGTGATTAAGCCATGGAAGTCTTGCACTAACTTGACTGCTCTTTCTGCCGTATCGTTTACTGCTCTCAGTGTTTTCACCTGATTCTTAGCGAGTTGAAAAGAATCATTATGTGGCCAAGAAGTTGGACACTCGTCGAGAAAACTGTCATCAATTTTGAGTCGACTGAACAAGGACTTGCTTTTGACTGAATCAAAGTGCTCGATAATTTTATCTGAAATGAAAAACCGAACAATAGCTGCCATCTAAGCATACTGGTTTTGTCCGTCCAACCACAGATGTTTTGAGCTTTTAGACAACTCATCAGCATCGTCTAGGCTTGGCCTCAGGTCAGGACAACGAACGACAGCGTAGCAATTAACCTCTATATGAGGTATAAGATCTACCGAAACAAGACAGTATAAGGTGCCATCTATTGCCAGCATCGCAGTTTATGCTGGCTTATTTTAACGGTTAGCATATTATATCGAAGCAGTAGAAGAAGACAAAGGAAAATTTATTCATCGGATTTACCATTAAGTGGGCCAGAAAGTTTTTCTTTCGATGGGATGTACCGTTTACCGTGGGCTGATGGACTTTCTTAGGCTAAATTAGCAACAATTTATACCTTAGTTTCCTCATCTACGTCGGCGTCAAACAGAGATACCACAGAGAACTAATCTGTCGAATACCGTAGATGCTGGCAGAACTTTGGTAAAGCTGCTTTGAAATGGTTTTGTCAAATCTTTCGTAAGCCTTCCTTGCCTTTCAAAAAGCATAAGTCCTGGTTAAGTGCATTTACAGCTAAGATTTGAATCTTAATTTTTTCTCTATATCTCCGCTAAGGAATATTATTGAAGTTTCTATTATGCCGATAAAATTGTAACAGGTTGTCAATGTCTTAAATACTCAGGCATGATATCTTTGAGGTATAATTTTTTTTTTGGGGATCCACACTTTTCCAGCTCTCGCGAAACTTTTTACACATTGGAATGTCAGGGCTTGTAGTCACTTGGTCGATTCAAACGCACCTTACAGGATTGTAATTTGTGAACAAATTGGGAACTAAATTCAAAAAAACATTTACTCACAAAATTTGGTACCAAATTATGAATGAATTTTTTTGTATCGTGACAGACGGCCTTTAGTTGGGAATCTGGGAACTAAGCAAGATTTGTGGTAAATCGTAATAGTTATTCAAGTTGTCTTTTATTCAGGGGAATATTATTTGACCTTCAATGGTTTCACCGACTTTTCGTAAGGAATTAAACGCACTCATACTGATGTTAAATACAATTTTAGAAAGCTGTAAATACGGGCAAGTTTTTCCAATAATTTATACGTGCAATATGCTAGCTAGCAATTTTTTGAGCCGTACGGAACTTTGTTTTAAGGAACACTAAAAACGAAGCGAAACTTTTGTTTAGAATATATTTAGTATAGAATTTTTGCGCTTCTCATGATCACCTTCACTTAATTTGAGTACAAACTGTGAAAATTAGTCGAAATGTCCAATTTCGGATTATTTTTGAAAAAATACTAGAATTAAAAAATCTCGAAAACTACTGATTTTCACATTCACATATAGGGTGAAAGTTGCACTTGCACCTTGGCGAATTACCCGTCGTGCATGTCGAATATTAAGTCGTAGGTTAAATCCTTTATTAGTTGTTACTTATATCCTAGGATGTAGCTTCTGAAATAGCACGATATATAGGACGATTGATTTCTGGCTTCACATTTAGTTTCAAATGCTAATAATTAAAATACTCTGAGTGATCGAACTGCGTGTTTTAATAGATGTTTTTTACACTAATCAAATCTTTTTAAGAAGATAATTGGATGTACACGAAACATGGATATTAGCGGAGAGTTTATACTTTGATGAAAGCTTATTTAGGAAATAGGTTGGAACTTATTTTGTAGGGCATCCGGCTTCAAAAGTATTTCACTGGCATCCACTTTAATCACACAATAGACATTGTTAGATACAGTGTGTTAATTTCTTTATTTGAAACGTTTTTGTGCAGTAGCAGACATACTTCCTCGAGAAAGATTAGTGATTCAACTCGGGAATTGAACACTTGACTACTTTTGACCCCCATAACCAACGACATTGCGGTTCATATACGATAAACTACAAGTTTACAAATCTCATCATATTTCATTCGGGTACGTAATGGTAAAAATTTATTTTGCAACCACTTCTTCAAGAATGTTTTATTACGTTTTAGTGTCGGTCAATTTCTCGATAAAATAGTTCGAATCCTATAGTATACTTAATGTTGCGTCTTCTTAAGGAATTCAGCAGACCATACCTCAAAATATAGAGTGTTCCATTAAAAAAAGAAAGAAAAAACAACGGTGTCCAGATCAACGATTGCACTATTAAATAGCGTCCAAATGTGTGTCAAATACGGTATATAAGTCTGTTAATTTCCTTTTTTGAAAATCCATTGCTAGTGTAGTAACAGTAGTGCATTCTCGAGAAAGATTTAAAATAAAGTTCGATAACTGAATCTCACCATATTTCTTACATGTGCGTCGAGGAGAAATTTACTATGCACTTGATCCAGTTATCTTTCCAATACAGACAATGCACAAATTTTTAACATCCCAAAAACTTTTTAGCAGCTGCACCTCCATAAAACATGTTTGAAATATTTTGGTACAATGTTTATTTGTTTATTGAAGATTTATTTAGTATTAATGCTACATTGTCAATTTTGTATAATTATTCTTTCCACATTTTTTAATCCATTTTCTGAAATTTATCATCAAATTTAAAATTTTTGTTACCCTTACGGCTTGAAGTGACCAAAAACTTGAAACTCGATGAAAAACCAAGTGGAAAGCTTTTTTGACTATGTCCTAAACCTAAAGTAACCAAAGCAAGGCGAGGGTGACGATATTGTTATTTTCGAGTTCGAATTCGCAAAAGGCGGACGTTGAAATATATCTTACATGATTTGTGATTTATATTTGCCCAATTACTATAAAAGAAATTAAGAAAACAATTCTATGGAATCACTATTATACCGTAGGACTGATTTCAAGAATGTCATTTTCGGGATGATTTGGGTATCTTTGGTACTCTTGGTACGAATCGTTCATTTCACCATTGCTAAAATTTTCAAAAGATATGAAGAATACCCTCCTAAAAACTGAAAAGATGTCGAAAGACGAAGTTCGTAACTTCTCCAAATAGACAATATTTCAACTACGCTTAAAGATTATCAAAAACCTGCCAAATATACAACTAGTTTTGGGGATTATGTGATTTTTTTTATTTTGCTCATAATTCCAACAGACCGACAGATTGCCAAAATGAATTTTCGTGTTGTAGACATAATAAAATATATAAAAAGCTTATCTCTATGTAGCAAATAGGCAATAAGCCTTACCCTGCTTTGGATATCCATTTTCCAGATACAGGACGTGTTCCAAATTGTGAAGATACTGCAACTGGTGAGTTACTAGTATAACTATTTTCTCTTTCAGATAACCTAGAAAGGAGAGACATTTTCAATGTATAACATACAAAATATAATTTGAATATTCACACCTTCGGCATACCTCAATCTGTCTGACATTCACACCATACTACTGCAGCTATAACTCAGCTCATAATAATTATTTTTTCTGTGGATGTAATCGTTTATGAAGGTTTCATAGTAAAACACGGGAGTAGTCGTAACTTTATTCCAAAACCATCTTTAGAATGAAGTAAAATGACGCATTACGACTACTCCTGTGTCTTATTGTGAAATTTTACGGAATAAGTTGTTCTATTTGATCTATGGCGAAGAATTTCACCAAGAGCATCTACAATCTACAGGATATTACCGTTTACCTGATATGCAGTTTTCGAACAGTTCTCTTCCGACATGGGTATCGACAGCTGACAAAGGATCATCCAAGAGATATATGTCGGCTTCTTTGTACACAGCTCTCGCCAAATTAATCCTAGCTCTTTGACCTCCGCTCAAGGATACGCCTCGATCTCCTACTATCGTTTTATCGCCATACGGTAAGAGATTGAAGTCCCGTTCCAAAGAGCATTTTTTCACTACCGTTTTGTACCTGCAAGCTCCTTTTAATTAAAGAACAAGACAGTATTTCGTATCTTATAGTCCGGAACGGGTATTACGTATCTTGAAACGTGACATTTTGTCGGTCTTTTTTGACATTTTGTATGTTTGTTGTGACATAACGTAGGTTTTTCTACAAGATGTTAACCTAGCACTAGCTGATATAGAATTGTTGTTAACTCGTCAAATGGAAAAAATGGAGGGTATGCGTATCTCAATTCAAACAAAAATTTGTTTGCACTCATAGGATGGGACACCCTACTGTATGTGTCGCTTAAACGTCATGATGCTTCAGCTATATGTTTGGCTCTGATGTGATGTAGCATCTGCTTCAGTGATGGAATTACTGGACGTCTAAGCTGTAAGTTTTATATTGTAGCTGGAGGAAAACGGCAGTGCATAGGTGCAGAGTGAGGATTTGTGTTCTAATGTGTTGATGATATTTCCATTGGTTCCTTGTCTCAAATACATTTACTGAGATGTATTCAAAGCTAGAAATTAGTTGCGCATCCACTTTTTCTTATTGATTCTGAAAATTACATATGCAAATTTGCTGAATTATAAAAATGCGACAGATAAGAAAGGAAAATCTCTGGTTGGTGAAGTGTATTACAAGAAACAGATGAGAGAATATGCCATAGACAGGAATAATTTTTGAAACGTAAAAAAGTTATTACTATTGGCCAACCACTCTCCAGAAAGGACAATATATAAGTAACCCGTAGGGTAGAACTAATAGATATACTTCATTGGCAGCATATTCAGTAATAATTTTCTCACATAGCAAATATCATTGATTTTATACACTTGCAATAACCAATTTTCTTTCTTTCACATCTTCTCAGAGATAAACACTAAAGACTACTCGGCTTTCTGGAACCAACAAGCAAACAACAATGCATGCTATGTCGTGGAGTGATTTCTCCATAGATGGACGCTTTTGATGGCGCTCACAGCGATCATAGTGAGCAAACGTGGAATTAACTATTTGCCCACTAAAAACAACCTAGCCTGCACTATGACACTTTGTCGGTTTTTTGACGTTTTTTAGGTTTTTACATAATATCCCTGCGGAAGGGTGTACCAGTCAAAAAAGTAATTTACCCAAAACAACGATCAGTTGTAATATATTTTTGATCAAGATCTAGTTTATTTTTAACGGACAGGTACCTGCAGGTGCGTCGCCATTGTGGATTACGTAGAAAAATTTCACGTCTCGGCACGGGTATTTATATAAGAAACCTATAAAAGGTAAAAAAAATCTATGAAGTGTCATCTTGCAGACTAGCTACTTTTTATGGTGCAGTCATTCCACGTTTGCTCACTAGGATCGTTGTGAGCGCCCATCTATGAAGGAATGACGCAACTACACGCATTGTTGGTTGCATATGTCTTATTAAGCCGAGTAGTCTGTAGTTTTCATCTCTGAGAAGAAAGTTGGTTGAATAGCAAGATAGCATCTGGATGATTATGTGTATAAAATCAGTGATATTTGCTGTGTGAGAAAATCACAATTGATCATGCTGCCAATGAAGTATATCTATTAGGTGTGCCCGACGGGTTATTTATGTGTTGTCCTTCCCGAAGACAGGTTATGTTCAAAGTTATAAATCACGGTAATTACTGTTAGCATGTATATGACTTCTAATTCGACAGTGTACAGCGAATATAATTATTTCTTAGCTCTGTCATTTTTAAAATGCCACAAATTTGCATATGTAATATCTAGAATGGATAAGAAAAAGAGGATGCCCAAATAATTTATAGCTTTCAGTATCTCAGTAAATGTATTTGAGACAAGGGACAAAAATCTTCACTATGTACCTATGCATTGCGTTTCCTTCTAGCTACAGTATACAACCTACAGCTTAGACCTCCAGTAATGCCATCTCTGAAGCAGATTTTACATCACATCAGAGCCAAAGATTGATAATTAAGTGCCGTATCGTCAGTCGTTCCTACAATTATTGTAGGATGCCTTTATGGTGTCCTTGATTTTCATAGCCCTTTCACTCCTTCAAAAAGGCTGTGATATTTCTAGATTTCTACTGTTCCGTGTCAGCGTCAACGCTCTCCTATTAATTGTCAGGCTGTGGTTTCTTCTTGGATTGTAGGAAATTTCAGGCTATATAACAGATGATATACATCAAAACCATGATCAATGTGATGCAAATAGATATTTGTAACATAACTTTACTTAACTAAATTTGTAGGAACCACTGACTATAGGGCCCTAAAGCATCATGACGTTTAGGCAACACGTACAACTACAAAACGAGTTCACAACGTGTCCATCAGCTAGTGCTGGGTTAACATCTTGCAGAAAAACCTACATACTGTCACAACAAACCAATACAATGTCACAAAAGCACAATGTCACTTTTCAAGATACGTAATACCCGTGCAGAAATAATATGAATATTATTGATCCTATCAGAAGAATATTAAATATCATTTTTGAACATAAAACAATTTAGTTTTTTAAAATTTTTCACTGTTAGCTAAGTATGGATTACATAATACGAGGGTTGATATTTTTAGCCAGATATTTTCTCCCTACTAAGTTACGAATACTTTCGAATAAAATAAGGTTCTATTCCCAATACAGTGAAATTCCCCTTCGCGGACACCCCTCTTACACTTCTTTCAAGCGGACAGATTCTCATGGTCTCGACCGACTCTCATATAATTTGCATTGTATTAACTCTCTCCTGGACGGACATTCTCTTGAACGGACGCGGACACGAGAAAATGTTCTACTAACGGGACAAAAAAAAAAAAATAAATAAATAAAAAGGAACGCTTTGTCTTATTTTTTTCTGTTGAGAGTATCGCTATTGCATTTCTCAATCGTGTCGCGTGCCATCTTCGCTGGGATTTTCTCGAGTAAACCGAAGATTCACCGACGTTAATCTTTCGGTACAACCGCGGCCTATGTGGTGCAATTCTGCCCGGAGTGAATTGCATACCCATTGGCTTTATTTGATAGTATATTATATGCCATTTATGATTTGAACAATACATTGTTCAAATGGCCGCCACGGCTGTTAGAACTGGTTGATCAGGGATACACCAACATTCGATGATACTGTGCAGCATTTCGGCTGGTATGGCCGTTATGACAGAGCGGTTGAAATACCTAGATTGGAAAATGGCTAAAGAAAAAAGAAACATTGTTATTTTTTGACAACGCGGGATCACGTTAAATAATATAAAAAAATTATGTTTGCCCCCTTATTGTACATCAGCTTGTCAACCACTTGACCAAGGGATTATATATATTAATTGACTGATACTGAAAACCTTTATGAGTTTTAGAAAATAGATGCAGGTTTGTATGTCGAGGTTCCAGATTCAAACCAAGAAATTAAAAATCCCGTTGAAATACAAGAACTTTCCGAAGATTATTTGAGCAAAAAAAACTATAATTCATAAGTATCACTGTACTTGCATTTTATATGACTTTGTGGTGTTATTTTAGGCTCAAAATTATATCAAGGACTCATTTTCAAATGCATGCAGATGTCATGGACATTCAAATTCAGGTCGGTAAAACTGTGTTAGAATATATTCTTTAGTTATTTATGAAACATTATTATAGGATAAAGAGGTGGCCCTTTCACAAATAAATGCTGCAGAATTGTCATCATTTGCGGAAGCACCAACAGTAGATGCCATACGCCAAACGCAAGTTCTGGTTCAAACTCTGAGTAAGGAACTCGACTCTGTCCGTACTTCATCTCAGAGATTTGTCAAATTGCTGTATAATCCCTGCAGATAACATCAATATGATGAAATAAACCAAAACAATATGGACTACCGCCATATTGGGTAATGAATATATTCCTCTATTGAAAATCAAATAATTGTGTTTCAGTCCGATATTACAGATATAAAATGATAAACATTAGAGTCTAAACATAGCATTTGTGGAAGATTTGACGCAGACAAGCTCAGATTTTTATCTTAAAAATCTAGACATATCTTTGATCATTATTAAAATATGAAACAAATCCGAAGCCCGTAAAAGTTGCGTCACTACTTTGTAGGACAATCACAATAAAATTTGTGTCAAGTTATACAATAGACCCATATGTATAGTTGGGCTCTGTGGCTAGCTAGGATATCCACTGATTAATCCATTGATTAAGATGATTGTTTTGTTTAAATTATATTCCACTAATCCTACTTTCTGCTAAAAGAACTTAAGTCATAGATTCTTTCATCATTATTATATTCGACATTTCAGTCCTTTAAAACTCAAATACAATATTAAGTCGAAAGAATTCCTGATATATTCAAATCATATTTTTGAAATGACTGATCCAATTGTTTCGGAGACTTTTAATCGTTCGTGTATATTATTTGATTGGCTAATGCTGGCAGAATATTCTAATGTTGAGTTTTCGGAAAGCTTGTCCTGGGACACTGTAAAGACTTAATCAAAGCTCTAGTGGATAAATTACCTTGCTTTGTCCAATGGTAGGCCAAACAAGATGTTTTGTCTGACTGTGCCTGCAAAAAGCCATGGTTCTTGAGAAGCGTAACTGATTTTTCCATATACTTCCAAAGAACCTTCTAATAATGGCAACTCCTGCAGGATAACGTGTAGCAAGGATGTCTTTCCGCTCCCTACTGGCCCTATAACTGCTAGTAGCTGACCGGAAGTGACCTGAAACAATGGATTCAAGATCTAAACCATAATCACAAAAATGGTAGACTAATTAACTATCATAATAAGTTACACGAGGGATGTCTTTTAAGTTTTGCATATGGAAATAAAACAACACGGTAGATAGTTTTAAATGACTATGGTTTTTCGAAATATTCTCCACGAAGATTAATACACATCTGCATGCGCTCGAACCAATTTTCGAAGCACTTATTCCACTCGTTTGCTGGCAGATCCAAAACGGCATTTTTGAATGCGTCAACTGCTTCTTCTGGTGACTGGAACCTTTGACCACGCAGTCTGTTTTTAATTTTCGGGAAAGTAAAGAAATCGTTAGGACTTAGATCGGGATTATATGCAGGATGGTCCAATAATTCCACGTTTTCTTCCGTTAAATACTGCCTTGTTTTTTGGGCTGTGTGCGAGCTTGCATTGTCTTGTTGGAGGATGATTTTTCTTTCAGGGTTGATTTTTCGAAGCTCGGTCATGACTTTTCTCAAATAAATGGTGGTGTACCAATCCGCAGTAACAGTTCTTTGCTCATTAAGAGGAATTGTTGCAATAAGATCCGCTTTTGATACAAATGTCGCGACCATCTTTTTCGAAACACTTCGAAAATGGATGACTTTTGTTGGCTTTTCTTCACCTTGGAACACCCAAACAGCCGACTGTCGTTTATTTTCTGGTTCATAACAGTAAATCCACGATTCATCACCACTAGAAATGCTGTACACATTTTTTGAGTTTCCGGAATTGAAACGGTCAAGCGATTTTTGACACCAATTAACCCTGGCTGCTTTCTGCTCTTCAGTCAACAGGTGGGGTATCCAACGAGAAACTTAATTTTCTTACTCCTAATTCTTCATGTAAAATTTTTTGAATTCAGGTCTTTGAGATCTTCAAGGACGCCTCAATCTCGCGATATGTCACATGTCTATCTTCAATGATGAGTTTGCGCACACCATCGACGTTTTCTTGGGTGACTGCCGTTTTTGGTGCACCTACCCTGGTATCGTCTCTAGGACTCATCCGTCCACGTTTGAATTCTCCATACCAACGGGAAATTGTCGACTGATGTGGCGCTTCGTTGCCGAAAACAGACAGTAACTCAGCAACGCATTTTTGTTGCGATAATTGCCTCTGAAAGTTGTAATAAATTATCGCGCGAAAATGTTCTCGGTTGAGTTCCGTTTTTCTAATGATTTGGTGACACTTATAAATTCACTGTAGTGAGAACACTGCTCGTATTGTTGTGAATCTTCGAATTTATGTTTAGTGAGGTTAAGGTTCAGTACTGACGTTCGATCCGCGCGGCATACTATGTTTCTACGAGCCCCTTCCAACTTCAGTTGGCCCAATTCAAGGTTTGTACTAACTAAGCATGACGAAACTATTTACTTCTAAAACAATTTATTTTCTCAAAAACATTTTAGATACACTCTAGTAGTAAAAAATACATATTTGAAATCTCTTAGACCTATAACTAATAGAACATCTGAACAAATGTGCGAATAAATGCGCGAAGTTAACAAAGCAACAATTGAAAGATTACCATTGGGTAACATCACCTTTATTTTTTATTACGGCTGAAATTCTTTGGGGCATAGTGTTAACCAAGTTTTGGCAAAAATTTGGTGTAAAACAAGACCATATTTCTTGAAGCTTTTGTCTGAGTTTGGTGATTGTACGAGCAGGATGTTGTCGTAGAACCTTTTTCATCTCGTGCCACAAAGTTTCAAGGTGACAGATCTGGACTGCTAGAAACCCATTTCAAAAGTGGTACATTATTTTCTTCCATACATTTTATAGCCTTTTTTGAGGTATGGCACGCTGCACCATCTTGCTGAAACACAAAATCTTGGCCGGATGTCAAACATTCTTCCATCACTGGTAAAAGCCATTCTTCTAAAATTGCCAAATATTTGTTTGTATCCACATTTCCATCAATAAAATGAAGTTTTCCTACTCCTTATGATGACATACTGCCCCAGACCATAATGGATGCTGGAAATTTCATTTTTCTCTTCAGACAGTCAACATGGAATGCTTCATTTTTTTGCGAATAACTCCATTACGACTGTCACCAACACAAACCTCGAATCGGGCCTCATCGCTCCATTGTATTGCACACCATTGTTGATGTGTCCATTGTCTATGTTCTTTAGCCCATCTAAGCCGATTTTTCTTTTGCAGTGGAGTTAATAGTGGCTTTTCTTTGGCCTATAAACAAGTTGTGCAACTTTAGGGTTTTTACTTCACTTTTTTTTATAAGAAAACTTACCTTGCAAGTGCTAAATCCCAGTTTGTGGGCCTCTCTATGAGTTGTGGACCTCGAAATTCTCCTTCCAACAGCGTCATTCCACAGAGAACTTAATTGTAAATAATTGGCACGCCTGTTTTTCACGATTATTCTTCTTAATGCTCTTCGGTCGGCATTTGTGATATTACTTTTTTTTCACATATCGAGGCTTAATATTAACTGAACCAGTTATGTTATATCTTCTAACAATATTTCTCACACTGTACCGCGATAAGTCTAAAAAAGTTGCATTTTCCGAGTTTGATTCCCCGGAATTAAAAAATTTAATTATCAGTAACCGAATTTTCTCACTAATAACCTTTCCTCTACCCATTTTGAAAACCTTAACTACCAAAAACTATTTTAAACGTATTCTGACAGCTGTGATTAATAAAAACAATTGTCATTGCTTTTATTTTTCACAGCCATCTATGCGTTATAGACTTGTTTTGCATTGAAATGAAGATAGGTTGATATGCTGTAATTGCAACATGTGTTATTTTTATGCTGCAAATTTGATTAGCGAGTGATAAAGTTGGTGTTTAATACTATATATTATCAAAATATTCATTGTTGATAGTTTAAACCTTTAACACCCTGCTACATTTTTATTATTTGTGTTTGATAAGAAAAAACTAAGATTTATATCGTATATGCAAAACTTATCTACTTGAAAAAAAAAACAGTTACAGAGAATCATTGCTTTATGTAAAATCAGTGTCTTCGTGGTGCAAAATACACCACTATCTATATGAAGACAATTGCATTTGTCTACACATTGATCTTATGTAGACAAAGTGGACAAAGTACATAATTGCAGATTGGAGCTCATTACAGTGAAACACTCCTCTTACGCGGACACCTCCTTTAAACAGACAGTTTCACATGGTCCCGACACACTCTCATATAATTTGCATTGTATTAACTCTCTCTTTCTCTCTCTCTCTCTTGGACGGGCATTTTCTTCAACGAATTCGGACACGAGAAAGTGCTTTCCTAACCGGACAGTGGTTGCAAGATCTAGATTGGAAAACGGCTAAAGAAAAAAGGAACATTTTATTTTTAGACAATGCAGGGTCTCATCCAAAAGACATTCATTCGATCAAATAATATAAAAATCTTATTTTTGCCCCCTAATTGTATACGTACATCAGCTTGTCAACCACTTGACCAAGTGATTATAAAGAGTTTCAAAACTTATTACCGAAGCTTAACACTCAAACACCTGCTAGTAAACATTGAAACTGTTTTTGAGTTAATAAAGAAAATTACGTCATTTTATTTGGCAAAAACCGTTTGGCACCAAGTAACCAAAGAATCAGTGCAAATTTTTTTCAGCAAAGCAGGTTTGAGGCTAATACATCTGACCCAGAAGATTACAATTACCACTTAATGTACTTTCAGATATCCTCAAAAATAAGACCTTATTGAAATAGACTGATAATGAAAACCTTTATGTATCTTTGAACCTGGTTGAAAGTTTGTATATTGAAGATCCCGATTCAGGCAAAGAAACTTGTCCAGTTGAAATACAAGAACTTTCCGAAGATTCTGATGTCGATGAGGCTCCAATACCAACTGAAGTTATTCCAAATTATGGTAAAGCTATTACCCTGACCAAGCAGCTCAGAAGTTTTGCCGAAAATCAGGGAGACGCAGAGTCTTTGGAGCTTTTATCTAAATTAGAAATACGTTTTCATGACGCCATTTTAAAGAAAAAGAGACAAACGACAATATATGAATTTTTGCGTCCTTAAAGAGACTTTATTTCATTGTTTTGTGTTACTACAACATATACCATCATACATACGTATTAACGTATTACATTATACATATGTATGAACATGCTTTGTATATATCTAAAGGTAACGAACCTCTTTTTGCGTAAGTAAGAATTTCTAATTGTTTATCCCAAAACACCTGTTTTCCGGCCATCACTACTAGTTTATCGAGCAATATACAGGGTTAGTTCAAATGGCATTTTTAAGCTAAATACACTAGTTTACCCTGTTGATATGAATCGCAAACCATTCCGGAAGATAAATGTTATTTTTATGCAAAAAAGGATGGGTTACAAATTCAAAAATTTCGTATTTGTGAGTAATTCGCAACAAAAGATGATAGGCACATCTGTTTTGTTTAAAAATGTGTAATAGTAACGTATGTTTTTCGAATATCGTAGCGCATTTGTGCAACTACTCACAAATATGAAATGTTTGAATATGTTTAGAAGAAAAAAACGTAACCTTTGTTTTTCGCATAAAAATAACATTTATCTTTGGGAATGGTTTGTGATTCATATCGGCAGGGTAATTACGCGTATTTTGCTATTAAGTACTTTTGAACAAATCCTGTATATTGCTCAATAAACTAGTAGTGATGGCCGGAAGACAGGTGTTTTGGGATAAACAATTAGAAATTCTCAAAAAACTACTTGACCAATATTCTCAAATTTTGTTGTTTTTTAAAAGTATGAATCCTACGGATTTGAAGAAATTCAAGTAGTTGCGGGAAATTATCGTCGCATTGCCAACAAGTGCTAAAATCTGCATTTTGCCTCGTTTTTCGGCTATAACGTTTTTGCTATTAATCTGATCTTTTAACGTGTGTTCTGATTTTGCAGGTCTCATAAATACCTAAAAATCTTATAAAAAAGCTGGTTTTGTTCCTGTCAGCACTTTTGATTGAATCCCAAGGAACA